AGCCCCAGTGAGACTTCCCTAGCCCCAATAAGCACAACCCCAGCCCCAGTGAGCACTACCCCAGCCCCAATTAACGCAGCCCCCGCCCCAATTAACGCAGCCTCGTTTAACACCGCCTCAGTGTCCCTGCTGTTGCTCTCCCGGCCGGGGCCGTTCCCTGGGGGTCGAGCTCTCCCAGCAGGGTTTGTGCCGCGGTGGTTTCCCCGTGGGAAGTGTCCCACACGGCTGGGCAGCACATCTCGAGGGACAGCAAGGTCAGTCATGTTTTATTGCTTGGGGCTGTGTTGTTGAGCTCTGGTCTTTGGCGGTTCTGAAGTTTTTGGATGTGTAAAACTTTTACAGAACTTTCTGGAGACTTCAGAGGTGAACTCTAAGAGCAAGACTGATGCTTGGTGTGAGAGAATTGGGCAGTTGTTTTAAGGTTTTAACGGTTCAAGGTGGTTTTGTTGGTGCCACACAGTGTTTTCACTGGGCTGTGTGTCTCCATGCCTCACAGTGCCCAGCTGGGTCACCTCTGCCTGGCTCTGTGTCCCTCTCGACAGAACCTGCAGGAAACAGCACTGTGTGTGGAACCCTGAGGGCTGGAAAACACCTCCAAGATCACCCAGTCCAGCCCTGCTACCAGCAGGCCCTGCAGTCTGGAAAATTTCTTGTCCAAAATTCATCAAAAGTGGTGTCTTGGTGTTATCCAGGCTGAAGGATCTCCCTGCTTTTAGTGCATAGAAGTTGTGTTTCCAAGTAGCTGATGAAGTTGAACTAGTGGTTTTCTCTTAATATTTTAGGAGGTACCTTTTCCCCTTGCTGATTATTGGCACTTGGTTTTACGGTGGTTTTCTCTTAATATTTAAGGAGGTACCTTTTCCTCTTGCTGATTATTGGCACTTGGTTTTACCTCCACAAACAGTGATATTTACCAGATGTGGTTACAGCCAAAAGTCTTTACTGCTTTGGTATCAAAGCAGCATGGAAACAAGCAAAGCCTAGTTGGTATTCCCAGCTCTGTGTGTTTCATCAATCCTAAGAGCAGCCAAGAATCAGCTGAGGAAGGGTTGGCAGTCCCAGGGCTTGGCCAGCAGTGCTTGTGTAGGATCTTGTTGTGTTGGTGGCACAGGATTTTGTTGTCTTGGTGTTCTCCATCTCTGAATGACTTGTCAGTTGATTTGGAAAAAGAGTAACTGTTGAAAAAACAGATTTTAACTAGGTATATGCTGTAAAGTAGGTCTATATATTAATTGCAGGTAATGCAATTTCAGAAAAGCTGAAACAACAAATGAGGGTGGTTGCAGTTCAGCTGTTGGCTGAGTACCCAGTGCATTGTGATGTATTACTTCACTTTTTTTGGAAACATTCATGAAGGTGTGGAACAAAGCTTTTGTTTTGAAGGAGTAATATTAGATAGAAGTTAGTAAGAAAGAGCTGCTTAAGTAAATTTCAGGTAGTAAACTAAGTATATACCTCTGTAACTTTTACTAAAAGGTGATTACTGAAATTCTGACATGAAGATGATTTCTGTCTCTGGGGCTTAGCTTTGTCCAAATTCAATTAGCAGTTGGACTGAAATTGTGAGGATGTTTCTGTTGTTTGCTCTTTGTGCTGAATTGAGACCATTTGTGTCTGTGGCTGAAGTAAAGCAGGTGAGCTTTACAGGAGAGAAATGCAGTGTGGACTGAAACAGGTCATCAGAACAGGTGGGTCTAAATCCTGTTTCCACCAGAAGAGCTCCACTACCATCTCCTGCCTTGATGCTCTTCCTTAGTTTGTCAGAGAACTGGTTAATAGACAAATGTCTGTTAACAGCAGCTGGAACTGCAAAGCAACTGGTTAATAGGCAAATCTCTGTTAACAGCAGCTGGAACTGCAAAGCTGGAATTGAAGAAGGTGAGAGTAATGTAAAGGAAAAGCCTGTAGAGCTGCAGTTATGTTTTGCTTTTTTATTTCTCTACATTATTTAAAACCATGTTTAATAGCACTGTATCTTATTTTTTACAACAAAATATTTTCATGTATTTGTTTCCTGATTCACACAACAGTCCCTCAACGTCAGCACCTAAACTTCATAACACTGTTGTTCTCTAGTGCAGTTTTGTTTTGTTTGGGACCATGGTTAGGGATCTTGCTCTGCATTTCACATCATCTCATTTGTTTCCAGTGCAAAATGTTTTTAAGGGGGGGATAAACATTTGCAGTGTATTGGTAGCAAGGCCATGATTCTAACAGGAAACAAAGTTAACCTTGGTGTGCATCCCTTACCTAAAGAACATGAAAGTTCTGCTTTTCTCATACTTGGTTTCTGTTTGCATTGATGCTTGATGAAACTGTCAGACTCGGATGTATCAAAGAACTCCAAAACAACAATATTTGTATTTAGTGGTAGGTGTGTATTTGTTTCTTTAAGGTTGTTTTTCCAGGTGCAAAATTGAACTACAATATTGTTTGAATATATACTGCAGAGCTTTAAAAATATGGACAACTCTAGACAGGTGGTGAGGGTCAGAAGTTCATTCAGCTTCTTGAATAAAGGGAAAAATGAAAGTCATAAAAATCCCCATCAGTATATTAGAATGCAAGTAAATTCTTGAACGTGGTGTTTTTATACAAAGATATATTTTAATCATAGTTGCCGTTCTATTCCTCAGTCAAAGACTGTGACAAATATGGGACACAAAACCATTGTATTGCAATGATCAGTACACCAATTCTCCACCTTCCTTAGAAAAATACCCAGCCCCAACACTAAAAAAAAACCAAACCCACCCCAACAAAAACAGCCCCCCAAGATCAAAGCAGACCCCCAGACTGCAGAGATGTTTCTTCTGCTGGTATAGAGCAGCATCTCTGGCAGCAGACACAGCTGGGCTCTGAGAATCCAGCCCTGCAGGGCAGCATGGTGTAGCCACAGGAGTTCCAAAGCACAGCCAGGTCAGACAAGTGCATTTCAGCCCACCCAGCATATTTCAAACACTTGTTCTGGTTCTGTGGATCCAACTTTTGATAATGTTTTTTTGTAACGAGAACAGCAGAAACAATAGGAACTTTGAAAATAAAGACAGACTATTTAAATAGCTGATAAAAATCTTAAGACTACTACGTAGGCTAGTGTTAAATAAAAACTGTCTGTAGTTTTATAATAAATTAACAATACTCTTTGGGTTTGAATCTGATGCAGTATCGAGGGAGGAGTGATAGAAATCAAAGTCTGGATCTGTAGAGCTACTGGAGTGCATTTCAGAGTACTGCAGGGATAGGAAACTAGGCCCTTTAACAAATTATACAGTGATCTGGGTAAAATTATGTATTGATAGTAAGTAATTCTCTTGGATCATAGCCACTGAAATGTTGGTACACCAGGTAAACTGAGTGTGTTGTCCCTTCATTTTCTGTGGGAGCAATTTAGCATTGTGGGGCATAATTTCATGCTGGCACCTGTTAATGGGGGAGTAATAAATCAGGCCACAGAACTCCTTAGAAACATGAAGAAAAATGAAGCTGTAGCTCAATAAAAATGATAAAGTGCTTTAAATGATCTTTTGTTGTTCACTACATTGTTTCTCATGTCATGGCAGACATCAAAATGACCCAATGAAAGACAATACTGCTCTAGAGTAAGTAAAACTGAGCCTGTTACATACTGTAGTCAGTATTTCCATGTGTTTTCTGGTCCTGATGTGAGACTTAGTTTACTGTGGGATCAGAGGAGAAGCTTATAGTACAGGCTGAACTTGCAGAAACATAAAGATCACAGTAAGTATTCTCTATTTTGAAGTTTTCATTTGCATCCATGTGGATGTTAAGAAGAAGGAAGCAAAAAGAGCAATCTGGAAACAGTTCAAATCCAGTGTGTGTGGCCAGTGGGCCTGAAATACACTGTTCAGTTTTGTGAGTCAGAAGAGGCTTGTTGGGAATGGATAGAAATCTGAGAATATATTCCAAGTTCATTGAGTGATAGCTGCTATAATATGGATGCTTCTTCCATGGCTTCAATCCACCTAAAAAGGAGAGGAGACAAAAAGTGGTACATATAAAATTGTATGCATTGTAAGAAGGTAAAGCCTGAAGAAGACAGTATTTTCCACCCCAGCCCGAATCAGGAGCCTTAGTTTTGTGATTAAAGCAGGGAGCTGAGTACTGGGAGTCCTTCTTTCTAGTGCAATCTTGACTAGTAATTTATCATAGAATCTCAAAGATAGTACAAGTGCTGTCTTAGAACAGGAAGGATGAAATCACTGATGTATGTTTGAAAGCAACAAACCCTCCTATAAACACTGATTTCCTTTCCTGTGTGTCTCAAGGAGCTGGCATCATTCTTATCACTTTTGTGACTATTGGAAGCAGTAGCATTAGCATGGGAAACTGAAAACATTATTTGCTGTGGAGGGAACTAAAAGATGGATAATGAGCATATATAAATCAGCAAAGTTTCTGTACAGTGATCACTTTTGACAGACTTCTTGGCGTGACTCTTGAGTCTTTACCTATATGAGGGAGCAAATTTTCCTTCTTCAAGGAACTGAAAAGCACCAGGTAGATTTTTAAAGCCACCCAGGCCAGTCACATGCAATTTGGCTTAATCAGCACTCTCAGAGCTGTTAGTTGCTTGTGTTATGAAGGCATTCTGAAGTGAAGCAGAGGGAAACACCCTACATAAATAATCCTTATGTGTGGGAGTCTGTCCCCATACCTCTGTGCTGAGTTGTTGTCCTCTGCTCTGAAGCTGTAAAAGAGAGTCTGCTTGTGGTAGAGATGAAAAACTGAGTCCGTACTTCCTTCCTCCTTGTCTGGGGCAATGGTGAAACCCAGCAAAGGCAAACTTTCTGTAGCAACTTTGTCCTGAAAGCAAAGAATCATCAATCCCCAGTTCAGAGGGAAGGCTTGTAACAGTTGGAGGGCTTTTTCTGAAAACCAAATCATGACCCAACCCCTCTGTGATGGCTGCAAAAGCAGCAGTGTGAGTGACCTGCTGGACTGGTGGCTCTTACCTAAACAGGAGCAGTGCCTGTGTGCTGCACATTTTTAGCTAGGCTGAGTCCTGGACCTGAACACCACCCCTGACAGTTTAGCTGTTCATGATAATCCACATGAGGGGTGAATAGCCATTCCTTTGGGGGCTGTCCTTGACATATGGTCCAGGAGGCAAACAGGAGATTACTGGGAGTATGGGACAGGACAGCAGCAGTTGTGTAAAGCCTGAGACTCACTCCCAATTGTGTTCCTTTCAATCATTTTTATCTGCTGGGTGCAACTAGTGGTCCTTTTGGTACCTTGTCATTTCCCTTTCACAGCATGAGTGACTTTCAGGACGCTGCTCTTTCTCAAACAGAACACTGGCTCTCTAAATCTGCCTGGAAATTTCCTGGCTGGCAAATGCAATTAATTGGTAATTTACTCCCAAGAAACATCCATGAATTTTGCTTGCCAAACACAGCTCTTACAAGTTAAAGAGAACAATAAGCCTCAATCCAACTGCAGTTTGGTCACTGTGTTTAGGTAGTGATTATATGTGTGTAACCTTTGCCACTGCTTTTAGAAGATAAATTACAAACTGGGAGTGCAAAGTGTAATTAGCTATTGTTGCTTTACCTTTGCCACTGCTTTTAGAAGATGAATTACAAACTGGGAATGCAAAGTGTAATTAGCTATTGTTGCTTTTTTTTCCCTGTTGTTGAGCCAGAAATTATCACTTTTAAGGTTAGCTGAGGTAAGGTGTGTTGGATACAGAATTTGATGCTAATGGTCTTAATTGCCAAGTATGAACTTATCTGTATGAATGAACCAAGTATGTCTTATCTGTACTTGCAAAACTCCAAGATTCCCCTCTCCTCCAGAAATGGGTCACAGCACCATCCATCCACCAAATACCTGGCAGTTACCAAGTGTTCAGAGAATGCCAAAGGACCCTGAAGTCTTTAGGTGTGAGTATGTAGTCTGAGGTTCCCAGTCATTGGCAGTGTATAATAACACAAAGCCAGAAAATGCAGGGCAGTGTTTGAGGGCTGCCAAGGTCCTGCTGGGGCTGTGGTTGGGGTCCTCAGGGACTCAGTCTGTCAGGACCAGGTCTCAGAAGGAAAGCAGTTATGAGAACTACCATTTACACCTTTCCCATGGGCTGGTGCTGCCTGTAGGGAGCAACAAAGGGACCTTGGATAGGAAATGAAGACATTGAGTCAGATTGCACAGTACCTCGTTTGCTAGGTAGGTGTAGAGGACTTTGCCCTTGATAACAAACCAACGTTTCTTCCAGTGTCTTTTGCCTCCCTTACATCTGCTGAGGTAACCACTGATGGTAGCTCCCTCTCCTGAGGCTGCCACCTGGAGCAGGATGGGAGAAATCAGAACTTGTAAGAGCAAAGGCTTTTCTCCTTCTAAGTATGCATGTTTGCATCCCACCAGACAACCAGGTGAAACCACAAGTAGACCATTAAAAGTATTGATACAAAAAAATATAAGCATGGTATTACAGTTCTTCTTAACTGCTTGAATATTTAAACTTAGTTCTCAGTAACTCTGATGGCCAATACACAGTTGAGTTATTATTGAGGTCAGTAGGTTTACAGTTGTGTTCTGAAAAGCCAAACCTGCCCCTTTTCCCAGGTCTGGGCTTTTTGTATTTCAAAAGCAAATTACAGTCTTGTGACTGAACACTGTTAAGATGTGGGTAGACTTAGGGCTTTGCTATGGTTATGTATTAATTTAATTACTTGATGATGATTTGGGTTCATTTGTGAAATAATACTTCTGAGATTTGCCCCCTTACAGTAATATTTGGAGATCTAAGTGCTAAATGTTCTTAAAAAAAAATCCAGATTTAGAGTAGATGGAACTATACACATCCACATAGATTGCAGTGTACATCATTAGTTACAGCAGTGAACTGTAATGGTATTGGGTTTAGAAACAAAGGGCTGAGATTCAAAACCAGCTTTTGTAGCAGTGACAGAAGACTGAGCATTAACATAGCAGTGTTTTGCTGCAGAACAGAAATGTTCTAGGAGTGTAGTAACAGTACTGTGGGATAGCTGATGTTACTAAACACTTGCTGCCTCCCTGTGGATAGCAAGGCAATGCTTTCTCCTCCTAGGGCTGAAACTCTGCCCACTGGCTCTTTCAGTATTCACTCTGTGCTTGCGTTACTTGCTTCTATCTTTGGCACAGTTTCACAAACAGACCTCAAGAAATTCCAGTGTCTTGAGTGTTTAGTGAGTTCAGCAAGACGTTTGCACTCTAGCCTGTTTAACACAATGAGAAATACCTGCAGGAAATGGGAGTACCTCACTATGCCAGAGTTCATGGGCAGCTTAGCTGCCTGGAATACATCAGCATGATTGGCACCTTGGTCCTGGAAAGAAAACTAACGAAGCTGGAGAAATTGTGGCCCCACTGAAACTGGTGGGAATGTTTTTACATTGGTAGGATCAAGGTTTTCATATTTCATTTGAAATAGTTTTGTTTGGGTTGGAGGGAAGTGCCTGATTAAACATACATAGTCCTGAACTGACTGCCAAGGACTATTCCCTAAATAAATCCAGTCCCAAAGTAAGTGGTATTTTTTCTCTGGAATTCCAAGTAAGATTTCAGAATAAGGATATTGTCTAAAAAAGTAACCTATGCACAGTGTGTCATGCTCTGTTGATACACATCACTGTCTGTGATCTGCCCTGTCTATCCAGCACCTTGAAGGCATTTTAGCCTTTCAAGCCTTCACGGGCTGATGAGCAGATTAACCCAGCTCTGACTGGGTTTCTCAGTGAACTGAAGACATTTCTGTGATATTTTCAGAGCTCAATATTTTGTATTTTAAACACTATTGTGGAAAACAGAACTAAATAACTACATGATGAGAGTAAACCAAGGATGTGCTGAGCCCACTGCACACAGTATTGATCACAGACACAGCTGCAGAGTATGAGCACAGTTTGCTGCAGTTCCTTGCTTGGTCCTACCTCTGTGAGAGCTGAAGGGATCTTCTTCTGTTTCTTAAAAGATGAGTAATTAATATTGTGGAAGACAGAGGAGAAGGCACTGCTTGAACATCTGGATGAAGTTGGAGGGAAGCTCATGCTTAGTGGCCGTTCTGCAAGATTAAGAAAATTCAGGAAGGGAAAGGGAAAATGGATGAGTCAGTACACATCAGGCTAACACACTAATGCAGCCCTCAGAGAACTTGGCTTAGAATCATGGAATGGTTTGGGTTGGAAGGACCTTACAGATCATCCAGTTCCAGCCCCCGGCCTTGGTTGCTTCAAGCCCCATCCAACCTGGCCCTGAACACTTTCAGGGATGAGACAGCCACAGGCTCTCTGGGCAATCTGTGCCAGTGCCACAGCACCCTCTGAGTAAAGAATTTCTTCTGTATATCTAACCCAGATTTTCCCTCTTTCAGTTTGAAAAAACAGTGTGCTAAACATGGTTTTATGGCTCACTAAAACAGTTTTAGCTACCATCCAGCCTGGCTCTCCTGGAACCTCAATGCATGTGCCTCGAGCTTGGAGTGAGGAATCCTCTTTAACAAAACACAATAGTAAGCAGATTCTAAAGCCTCCCCACTGTACAGGCAGGAAGTTGATTTGCCAGTTTTGCCAAGAAAAAGGCTTTTACCTCTTTTCTTAAGTTCCACGTAGCAGCTATCACAGACTTTGGCTGCTTGATCTTTGAGGTACTTCATGGGGTACTTGTTTCTTGAACAGTTTCGACATACAATCTGTTCCAGCAAGAAGAGATGCACATAAATATAATTTAAGTTTACAGATATGCACATACAAAACAAATCCTCTGAGCTGCTTGGGAGAGGAGCTGTGGGCAGTCAGGGAGAGTCTGCTGACTGAGATGTGATTGCTGCAGCCTTACACTGTTGTAAGCCAAGCAGAACTGATCACTGGTTTTGACTGCACACCACTGCTGTGTCCTTCTCCCCAGAAATTTGCACCTTCCCCACCAGTGAATTGTAGAAAAACCATTTTAATATTACTTCTGTTTTCATAGCTTTGTTAGTAACATGTTCTCAATGTTCCTGCAATCCCTATGTAGGTACAGACTGGTTTTTCTCTGTGGAATTAGGAAAAAAAAAAAGTAGCTGCTTTTTTATACTAGCAAAAATTGCTAGTAGTTTTATTTAAAAGAAAATCAGGCTAGAAGTCAGTTGTGGTTTAAAACAGGACTGCAAGTTTATGTATATAAACAAATCTCTAGAGTCAGGGATAAAAAGACAAAGCCAAGAAGTTACAGACCCCCTTAGCTTTAGGGCAAAAGGCAACAGCTCTTCAGTGGAGCACAGATGAAATTTTCCCTTTGGTCACTGACCAAACCATGCTCTACTACTGAGTTTCTTCACTTTCCTGGAAGGTAACTTTACCAGCTGTTCTTAGGGACAGCACATTGAGCAGATGTGCTACTGCTCTGGTGGAGAACAGAGCTAGTGTTTTTAGCTTATTGCTTCTTTGCCTCTAGAGTTACTTGTGTATCAGATTTAAGGGCTGGACTCAGCAACAATTATCTTGTCAGCCCTTAACTACTAAGTAGCCTTTGGGAGCTGATTTGATACTTACAACTGTTCCTCCTGGACTGATTAGACCTCATTGCCTAATGTAGCAAAGCCCTCTCAGGCTCTGCAGCAGTCACCTTTGGTCTTGATGTTGCTGTGCATTTGCAGAGGTGATAGCAGTGGCAGTCAGTGCCCCAGGGGTGTGAATAACCCCCCGAGAAGCTGCTGCAGCTCTTACCTTCCCACAGGCATGGCAATGGTGTCGCCTCAAAGTGAGGGTGAAGTCACAGCCACAGTTCATGCACATCATGACATGGGACACAGGTACCAAAGTAGGAGGCCTCTCACCCAGGGGTATTCCAAGCCTTTCCCTTAGCTTAAAATCAAATAAGAATAAATGAGGAAGCATCCACACTTCCAAAGCCCACTCAGTCACAGCCCTGCTCTATTCTCCTCTCATTTTGCACTGGCAACTACTTCGTTATGGGTATGATATTAGTGTAACTAATGGTTAGTTTTGGGTTTTAAAATCTATTTTGTAGCTATTTTTAATTAAGTTGCTAGTGTTTGTCCTTTAGGACAAAACAGTCTTCCTCCAGAAGAACTAAGCAAAGACCACAGGATATGGAGTGTGATTAACATTTCAGAGGTGGCCCCTGAGCTGTGATGATGTTTGATCTTTGCACACTGGTTTAAATGAAAATAGAATATGCTGCAACTAGGAGCTCTGCATATTATCTCCTTTCCTCTCTTTCTCTCCCTTCACCCTTCCCTTTTCAAGCATGGAAAGACTTGGCTTCCTTTTACCTCCACACTGCTGTGGAAGGTCGAAGTGTTGTGAGCTTTGTAGTCATCTGGGATGTGTCTGCTGATGCAGCTGTACCAGTCATCCCGTTCTGAGCAGGAGCTGTGGAAGGAAATACAGCAGAGCAGTCAATGCCATGCACAGCAGGGACTGAAACTAGCAGATCAGAGGAGGAAAGCTTCCCTTTACAGATGTTTGCTTTTCCCCACTACTGCACTGAACTGGTAATTTTCTGACCAGGAACAAAATTGACTGTTGGACATACTCAGAGCAATGATTAGTGGAGCTCTGTAGTTAGGACTGTGAGTGGGAAGGAACTGAATGCCCTGAACATTTTTCAACATAGTCTCTGATTTTGCTATAAGCTCCTCAATCCTAGATCACATAGGACAATAGGAAATGTCTTGTTTACTCATGTCTGCCCTAGCTTTTAGGCACTCCAATGCCTGTAGCACTTAGCATGGGTTGCTCAAAGTGAGCATGTTTTGCTCCTCTCTACACTGGGACGCCTAAATGATCTGCATGTTGGGAAATGCAGATGTCTATCACTCACGGTAGAGATGTGAATGCTCTAATTTTGCTCCAGCTCCATCACAGATCACCTCCAGTCTCCTGGCAAGAGGCCAGGGCAGCACTCTGGGAAGGGAGCTCTGCATTCCCTGTGGCTGCAGTTATGCAGGAGGGCAGCAGTTCTCCAGACTGGCCCCTAGATGCTCCCTTTGCACAAGGCAAACCAGCGAGCACTCTGCTCTTCCCTGCCAGTCCAGCTATCCCCAAAACCAGCCAGCAGGGCTCTCAGCGCCTGTTACTTCCCAGATGCACTCGCTCTGTTACAGCCCTAAGGTTTCCTGCCTGTGTTTGCTGGTTTTTTATGCTCTGACTTCAAACTGTGCTTCCTGCCCATCTGAAACTCTGCAGTTCTAGCTGTTCCTAACCTCAGTCACAGGAGGGAATGCAACTCGGTGTGGTCTCCCCTCCTCAAACCATACCAGCCCCTCACATTAAAGGTACTTGCTAGACTTTGTTGTGAAAACTACCAGTGGCATCATTGCCAGCTGCTGTTCAGCTGTGACTTCCTCACGCTGTCCTCATGAAGACCACCAAACAAGGCATCTGAGAACAATTTGTCTTTTATGGTTGTAAAAAAAGAGCACAAAAAGAGAGGAAATGCCAGATTTTCTTGATGATCTTTGACTTGGTATCTCTCTGCACTGTGAGCATAAGCCCTTGTCTGAAAAACATTAGCCTTTGCAAAATTCAGTTCAGTCTTTGGTATTGGTTGGACTAGTCTAGAGATACAACTCTAGAGTGCAGCACCTTCTGCTGTGGCAGTTTGGGAACAGTACCTTGCTGACAGGGTCAGGCAACATTCATCACATTCAATCTTCAGGACGTTTTGGGCTTTGTCTGTCACTGGGCGACTGACCTAGGAACATGAACATAAATGTGGACGTGAGTTAGTGTCTATAACCAGTACATCCTAGAAATCTCAATACATTTGGATCTGTGATGTCCCAATCATCTGTTTCACATCTCCATGCAAAGAGTTGGGCAGGTAGGGTTTTCTCTTTTGTGTTGGTGTGTAATAAGAAATGCTCTCTGTTTAAGTATGGTGATGGTGCAAAAGGAAAAAAATCATTTAATCCAGTTTATAAATATTAGGAGAAGATATCAGTTCAATTTTAATATGACAAGCTTAGGAGATATTTAGTCTGAGAAGTGTCAGAGCATTTTGGGCAAAAATTTTGGCTCTGCCTGTAATGAACAGAAATCACTTTTTCTGACATGCAGACATTGTACAGTGAAGCACTTCAGCTCTAGGAGTGCCTGTCTGCAGCAAGATTCTTTAAAAGGAAACAACCCGAACCAAACAAAGCTACAGCTCAGCTAAAATCTTTTTTTCCTGCCATGTAGTGAATTAGTTGCCTGCTAACAACAACAGCCACTGAGGAGAAACAGCTTCATGGTTTCATCTGTTTTTATTACCAAGCCCATGAAAACCACGCTTATGTAAATTTTGAGTACCAGCAGTTTAAAACCAGGCAGACTAAGCCCTAGTGAATATGTTACAGGGAACAAACATCTATTGGCTGAAGACAGGGAGAGGAATGGACAAAATAAATTTTGTTTCCAGTTTCATGATCAGATGGTGACTGATTTTGGCTTGTATTATTTACGCAGCCTGAACAAGGCTGTCATGTTAAGTCACAGACTTATAGATAATCTTTTATATATTTGCTTTATATTATTTTTCCTTCTGTCTCCTGCATGAGCCAAGGAAATCCCCTGATAACAGGTCCATCCCCTCTTTCCCCCTGCTGTGTGTGACATAAACCAGCAAAGCACTAACAGCTCACTATAAAACTAATTCCAGCCTATAATACAGCTGAGGCATTACCTTCATGCCTGACACAGCCAAGGTGTTTTTCAGTCGGTATTTGCCATCCTTCTGGGGATATGTGTACAGCAGAACATCATTCATCTATATGAAAAGAAAGACAAAATCAATAATTTGCAATATGGCTTGCCCACTCCTCCTGGGGGGATACCCAGAACAAGCAGTAACTTGATGAACTGCTGGGACTGTGACTAAAGACAGGCCCAAGCCACACAACTTAGATTAAGACCTGCATTTCCACAGGACTCTGGAGAGTCTGCATCCAGGACTTGGATTTCTTACGATTTCTGACTGTTGCTAATGGCTAAGCAAGTAGAGAATCAGCTTGCTTTTTTTTTTTTTTTTTAATCCAGCATGGGTGAAACAGCTGCTTATTTGAAAGGCAGTGCCATACTCACATTGGGAAGGAAGGTTCTGCATTTGGTACCTGGCAGTGCCAACTAACTCTGCAGGATGCTGCAGGTCTGACTCTCTTGGGGTGCCCTTGACATTGAAGCTGTGGTGAGGGTAGGGATAGGGCTGAGGTTTACAGGCTTCATTTTCTGGGCAAAATGAGGAAGCAGAGCTGAGAAGTGCCATAACCTGGAGGAATGGTTTGGGTATTTGAGAGTAGTAACTGTGCTTTGCTGCTAGCAAAACCCACCCAGACATCTGACAGCTTTGCTGAGTCTGTGGGCAGCAGCAGAGATGATGGAAGGGAAAAAATGGGAGACATTCTTCATTGTATGAGGAAAAATCTTAACACCCTAAATATTTCCATGGTTCTCACAGCCCCTTGCAGAATGCATCTTTTTCAAACAGCTTCATACTAAATGGGATCAGATCTTTTCTGCTGTGTTTGTAACTTCATCATACACATTACTGCAGCCTTTTACCTTCATGCCAGCAAACCAATAAATGAAACAGCAGAGCTGGACCTTGTAGGTCTTTCCTGACCTCAGTAGGTCAGGAAAGGAGTAGCACTATCAGTGGCTTTAACGTTGCCAAAGTAATGCCTGTGTGTATGCATTCCTTGCTTTGCTTCTGTGAGCAGGTCATGTTCTCTTGCTGCCTTTGCCAGGCCTTTCTCATCAGTACTGATATGTATAAACTCACTCAGGCCCTTAATTACTGCACTGGGATGGTATGAGCAAAGACTGCAAGGCAGTGTAAAACTAAGGAATTGAAAGGATGATTTGGCACTAAAGTAATGTATCCTGTATGACTCAAGTTGTTGGGGTCTTCATAGTACTGACTGACCACCTGCAAGTGCTGGTGTAAAGTTTTCACTAATCTGTTTGCCTGAAAAAAAACCCAGAATGTGGAGCCTTTTGGATGTTTTCTTAAAAGGCCATAGTTCAGCTTTTACAGAACAGGAACAATGGTTAAAGAAAAATGACATGGAATCAATACTCATGGGATTAAATCCTTATCACCTTGGACATAACAGCAAAATGGATGTTGCCTTTATTAGGGTCATGAGTTCACTCACACCTAGTTCACTAAGATGTCTGAGCCACAGCAAATCAGCCTTAAATGCTTTAACTGTGCACCTTTAAAATGCAGATTCATGTTGAAATGAGGCAAAATACACTGGAGTGACTTTCCCCAAAACTTTTACTTCAAGTTTAACTACTTTTAAAAATCAAATCGAGTTTACTGTGCCAATATTTTGTGGGAAATAGGGAAACATTTAATTCTAGTATTTTAACGAAGAACTCTCTGCTATGCACTCCTGTTTGTCCTAGTAAGTATTAAGTCATGTGGAATTTAAAGCTCTTTGAATATAACAGTTGTGAGCTGAGGCTATAAACCATCCCCTGAGTGGCAGTGGAGCAGCCTGAATGTGCTGGAGCTGTGTTTTCCACAGCCTCCTATACTCCAGCCCTGACAGCTAGAGCATTAAACAGTCTCCCACTTGATAGCAGCTTCCTGCACCCCACTTGCAACACAAGCAGCCTTTGTAGAGAAATTCTTAGAAGGGTGAGATAAGAGGCAGTGTCTGAGCTGCACAGTGCTGTGGTTGTGGGGCTGTTGGGGGGTCTGCCAGCATCAGCAGCCCCCACTGTGCTGCACAGAGGCCCCAACATCCTTGTAAACAGAGACTGGACTCAGGAAACAGACGCACAGCTAAACTCACCAAACATCCTGCCAGGAAACACCAGATTCAACAATACCATCAGCCTGCATAGAACAGCCAGCTCCAGGAACCTCATGATGCACACAATGTACACCCACAGAAACATATGCCCATCAAAAGCCCCTAAATGTGTGTTCCACACTCTGGTGCCTGTGTGGGCTGTGCAAACACACAGTGCTCCTTCTGGGCAGATGTGTGTTCAGAGCACAAGTGCACACACCACCAAAGCAGAAGTCTGGCACACACCTGATTTTTATAGCATATTCTAACTACAGCTCTAGTTTGGTGGACTCATCTCCTGGGATGTGCAGGGGTTGAATTCTCAGGGTTATCCTTCAGTGTGTACTCTTGCAGTGAAATTCTCTCCAGGTCCTAGTCCTGGTTTAGCTTCAGTCAGAGTAGGTTCACTACTAAGAACTTCAGAAAATACTGTTCATGTAAAAATCTGTTTTGGATTGCTAAGGTAAATAGACTTATTTTGACAAAGCTATACCAAAGTACACCTATACATGTTAGCTTCTGGTGATCCTTTTGAGTGGCAGCTGACGTGGAAGTGTCAAAAAAAAAGTCAGTTCTGAAAGGCTGAGGGTTTTTTGTTAATATAGAAACCAGTGACTTCAAAGGATTACGCTATGGTCCTTAGAAGATAAAGGCTTTAAATAAATGTGAGTTTCAGGAGACTGTTTAGGAGATTATTCTAGTCTTGAGGTTTTGGGATGGGTTTTTCTTCCACAGGCAGCAGAATTGAGACAGTATGTGGGTTATGGGTTGGGGTAGATGCACTGGCAGAGGGAATGATATTTTCAGGCCTGTTAGGAAAAGATGTTGGTAGGGCCTTAAGACCAATGCAGTAAACATGCTACATGCCAAGATGGAAATACAATGACATAGCTATGCATTAGTTGTCTTAATGTATCCACAGGCTATTAAGGATATTAAGGCTGAAAGGAATTAAAAAACTGTTTCTGAATACTGAGAGCATCTATTAACGGGTCATTGGCTGCTGTAGTGTCTCTAGCTGCCAAGAGACACTTCTCTCCTTGCAGTTAACATCTGGCTTTGAGCAACTGAACTCTCCCCAGGAATTAAAAATAGTTCCTAAATTATCAAGTGCCAGAAACTAATTTCAGTAATACTTTCAGCCTCTTGTGACCTGTGACTTTCAAGCTGATACAACCATTTTGAATGACTTGAAATTTATGTAAGTTTATCCCAAGTGTAAATTACTTTCCTCTCAGTGTTTATTACCAACCTGATTTCTGATCTTCCTTTTAAATTCTCTGTATCAGTTACAATAGCTAAGTTTGTGGCACTTCAGTATTTGCCATAGTAGTGGTTATGGTGGCAGTTATGAACACACTGGAAGACAAAAGGGTAACAACTTCTTGGTATTTGATCCCAGCTCTAGCCACAACACCAAAATATTTCTGTAATACTAAGCAAAGGTGAGTGCTTCAGTAGAAAAATCAGTAAGGACAGAGACTTCAGCTGCTACTGCTGAGAACACTGTTGAGAGCAGCTCCAGGAGATTCTGGCAGAGCCATTTTCCCTTGGTTGCAACAAAGTCATGATTTTGATGTCTGTTGCTGTTGTTACAGTCTGTTGATGTTGACTTAATAAAACAGCACTGCAGCAATCTCATCTTTGAAGATTTGAGTGAAATCCATCACTTTCAGTACATGAAGGTCTGAATTTTCACGGAAACCATCAGAAATGTGCAGTGTGTCCTATCCCATCATGACTGCAATACATGGTTGAGGAGGCAAAGAATCATAGGATCAACCAGGTTGGAAAACACCTCCAAGATCATCAAGTCCAACCCTACCATGGTGATAGACCATGGCACTAAGTGCCACATCCAGTCTCAGCTTGAAAACCTCCAGGGATGGTGAATCCACCACCTTCCTGGGCAGCACATTCCAATGCCTGAGCACTCTCTCTAGAAAAAAATCTCTTCCTAATAGCCAACCTAACCCTCCCCTGGCAGAGCTTGAGTCTGTGCCCTCTTGTCCTGCTGCTGGTTGCCTGGGAGAAGAGACCAACCCCCCACCTGACTCCAACCTCCTGTCAGGGAGTTGCAGAGGGTGAGAAGGTCTCCCCTGAGCCTCCTCTTCTCCAGGCTGAACACCCCCAGCTCCCTCAGCCTCTCCTCATGGCACTTGTGCTCCAATCCCTTCACCAGCCTCGTTGCTCTTCTCTGGACCTGCTCCAGCCCCTCAATGTCCCTCCTGAGCTGAGGGGCCCAGAACTGAGCACAGGATTCAAGGTGTGGCCTCACCTGCACCGAGTCCAGGGGCAGAATCACCTCCTGGTCCTGTTGACCATGCTGTTCCTAAAGCTTGTGCACCCAATCGTGCACAAACTAGAATTAATAATTAGAGGGAGAAATAAGAATGATGTCAAGTGTCTGACTTCTGTAATAAGCTCTCTCTCCTTACAGTGATCCCATGGTGAAAAGCTGTCAGCACTTCAAGGCCACAACAGATATGAATTCCATGCATATAAGCCATTTATTTTAAATTCTGCAAACAGTACTTTAATGTTAAAAGCAG